ATCAGCTTCCAAGGCATGTAGAGAGAATTGGGGGAGGAGGTGGTTGAACAGGTTTGTAAGGGGGAAAAGATATCACTTTTAACCATGAAGACATTTAAAGGGAGGATGTGGCATAATGAAGTTACTGAAAAGCTAGTGTTTGAATAATTGGATAAAGTTATTGGAAGAGGTGAGAGGGAGGGATTTTTCTTCGGTAGCCATTTAGAGGACAAATTAAGAATCTAGATTTTGAAGTGAGTGGACTCAGGAAAAAGGAAAGGACTGTATTATTGTCTAAGTCCCTAAGAGAAGAAGCATTGGCTTGTTTCTATTATGGGATTTCAGGGTGGTAAAGGGAGAGAGCAGCAAAAGACAGAGGCTGTCCTCAGTGTGTTTGTCAGCCAGCCTCTGTCAGTAACAGATTAACGAAATGTCCAGACCAGAGGACCATTTAATTATGGTCTGGAAGGGAAGAAGGTGTATTAGCCATAGAAGAGGGTTGAGAAATATATAAGTATGGAGGGGTTTGTTTAGAGGGATTTTTAACAGGACTCATAGCTTGTTGTTTTACCTTTGGAGGCCTATGCCCACCCCCACCTTGTGTCAGCTACACAAGCATGCAGACAGGCAGGCACAGAGACCGGGGTCAGCAAAAGGAGTTTGCTTGAAACAGACACAGTTTTAGCCTAGAGAATATGGACCAACTGCAAATACCAAGAGTGTAGTTAGAAGAGCAAGGAAGGAGAAAAGGTTCTTTTGTGATGGAGGTCATCAAAGAAAAGAGAGATAGAGGGAAATGGAGAGGGGGAAAGAGACAGATTGAGTTGCTACAAGATAAGGAGTTACTTTTTTAGAGGAAACGTTGGGTGGCTCCTGGCAGAGAAGGGCTTGGTGAGCAAGGCAGGAGAGTGGAGAGGGAGCCCTCTGGAGTGGAGGTCAGAGAAGGACTTGGTGGACCGAACAGAACAAGCAAAGGGAGGATTTTCTGGAGCAGAGCTTGAGGAGGGCTTAGGTTTAGGGGACCTCAGACTCCTCCCAGTTTCATTGGAGAATTGTTTAAATCAGCAAGAGTAAAACCTAAGGTTCTGAATTTAGGTCAGCAGTGCCATGGTAATGAGACTAGATTTTGGAATAAAAACAAATCAGTTTTGTTTTTTTATGACTGTAAATCAGTCAGCCCAGAGTCTTAAGTGTAGACAGCAGGCATGCCAATGGGGTGTCTCTGGGAGACAATTTGGAAATTTTGGTAGGACTATGGATCCTGTCCTGATGCTACAGGCAACACTGGCGCTTTGGGAAGCCAGACGGATGGATTCCAATAATTAAGAGAGGGCATCCCCAAAGGTCCTTATTAAAGGGTATAAGGGTATAAGGAAAGAAGAGACTTCTGGAGTCTCTGGACCCCACAGACAAGAAGGAAGGGAGGGAGTCCTGCCCTCCTCGTGTCCATGTCAGTTACCTTGTCCTGAAGGCTTTTAGGTATTGGCTGAAGCCAGTCAAATAGCGAAGAGCCTCCTGCCTGGAGATCAGAGTCCAGGGACAGGGTAAAGGATAGAGAATAGGGGGAGAGATAAGGCCTTTTCTGAGCTTACGCACAGGGGCAATAATACCTCAAGCCACAGCAGCGTGGCCATCCACTGTTTGCACTGCTTACAAAAGCAAAGGCTGGGAGGTTTTTCAGGTGTCTGTTTAGCCCAAAGTAAGCTCAGAGGGCTCTGTGCTTCTGATGAAGAAAAGCCTTGGAAGGAGGAGGAAGGTAGCAGAAAGGCTCAGTGAGAGGTGGCAAGGAGGTGGGTGGCCCCTTGGCAGAGGGCACCTTAGTTAATCCTGGTGCTTTTTATCTCCTGGGTGTCAGCACCATATGTTAGGAAAATGGAGAACGGAAAAGGAATAGGCCTGACTTGATCACCAACAGAAAGGACTCTTTATTGAGGAGCAGCCAGGGGCACAGCCCTTCCAGCAGGATTGAGGTTGTGTGAGGTAGCTGGCACAGGATCAGTGTTTTATAGGAGATCTGATCAAGGAGGTAGAGGTTAATGAAAAGCCCCTAGGTCAAGAAAGATGGAGGACTTTCAGTTGGGTCTGAGATGGGATGTTTACAACTGGGCCTAGGTGGATTGCCCTCCCTGCACATCAAAGGAGTTCACACATACCTGGAATTATGCCTGGAGTCCGTATGTACTTGGGATAATAGGGTGGGGCTCAACCATTCAGGCCAATTGGAAAAAGTTAGCCTTCTGAGCTTTTCTGCATATAAACACTCCATCAACATTTTCTTATTAGAGGATTATTCAAGATTAGCTATATGTTGATTGATAATAACTGAGCTTGACAGAAAGGTGAGGGAAAACTGTCTAGTCTTCAATGAGGTTCTGACTTGTATTTCACAAAGTGTTATGAAAGCCCTCAATGAGAAATCTAGTAGCTGCATTTCTTAAAAGTGCTTGCCTAGGGGCTGGGAAGGTGGCTCAGTGGTAGAGCGCTTGTCTTGCATGCATGAGGCCCTGGGTTCAATGCCTCAACACCACATAAGCAGGAAACAAAAGCCGGAAGTGGCTCTGTGGCTCAAGTGGTAGAGTGCTAACCTTGAGCTGAAGAACTGAGGGACAGCTCCCAGGCCCAAAGTTCAGGCCCACGACCGGACCCCCCAAAAAAATTTAAAAATAAAAGTGCTTGCCTGGTTACACTTTCTGATAATGTGTCAATTCAAGTACTTCTTGGAGTTCCAAACCATTCATTCAATTTTGCTGTATTAGAAACTTGTTACGTTTTGCGGACAGCTCTTGGTGATGAAATTTGTGCTTTTTAAAATTGCTCTCCCAATTCCATCCACAAAATGCAGACAAAAATTATCTGAAAAAAATCATATCTGTTGATATTGCATATACATTTACTTTCCGTTATAAACCTAGAATGCAGTAAAATTTCTCATAGCAATTACACTGCACTAGATTGTGGGCAGTTTCTAATGTAAATAATATATTTATTTTTGTAGAGAAATTGAGTATCCAAAATTTTAATATGCCTGTCATCCTAAAAACAATACCCTACTGATATTGAATGACAAATATAACTTCTCATAAGTACAGAAATTTTCCTTGTATCTTTTTAATATATACTTTTATTGTAAAGATACTATACAGAGGGGTTACAGTTACACAAGTAAGGAAATGAGTACATTTCTTATTGAGCATTGTTAACCCCTCCTGTTTTTCCTCTACCATCCCTTCCCTTTACACCTCCTCAACTCCTCCTTCCACCCACCTCTGAGTGTCTTGTACATCCTATTGTTACAATGGATCAACCTGTATCCTTTCCTTGTATCTTAAATGAAGAAATGCTGGCTTGTTTCATGCTGATTCTACTTGTGTTGACACACCTAAGGTCACTCTCCAAGTCCAAAAGCACATAAATGAAGTGCAAATCATCTTTTGTCAGTGGTATAATTGTGTTCTACACATTTATTGACAGGATACAAACCTTAATACATATATACATTTGAAGGCATTTGATGTGTGAAAACCCATCAATATAAAATATAAAGTGATTTTGATAAAAAATAAAGGTGACTCAGAAGAAATTATAAATGCAAAAACAGTCTTTACAGAAACAAATTCTTAGAGATATTTCATGACTTTGAAAAGGATAAAGTGGCTGAAATTAATATAAATTTAGAAGTATGACAATCACAAAAATATAAAAAGATATTCATGTATATCATTATATAAGCCAAAGCAGAAAGCAAATGTTGTTTAGATGACTTTTTAAAATATACTTTCTCAGGAACTGGAAAGGGGGTTCAGTGGTAGAGTGCTTGCCTAGAATGAATGAGGCCCTGGGTTTGATTCCTCAGTACCACATCAGTAGAAAAAGACAAAGGTGGTCCTGTGGCTCAAGTGGTAGCACTAGCCTTGAGCTGAAGAGCTAAGGGAATGCACTCAGGCCCAACAGTTCAAGCCCCACGACCAACAAAAACAAAATCAAAAAATAAAAAAACACTATCTCTCACTTTTGTGTCCTCAACTCTGTAATATGGCTGCTTCAGCCTAGGGCTAAGATTTTAGCTGTGGACACTTAACACTCCTGATTCAGACTCTACTTGAGAAAAATTTTAATGAATATTTTGTTCTTAATTTTGCTCTTTGTAAATTCATATGCACCTATAAAACATGGTGTGGCCATCCCAGTAACATTCTCAAAGTACCTCCTAATGACGACTTACAAAAAGTTGTATTATATTACAACAAGGAAAACAATGCTACAATAAACAAAACCAATCATTAAATATTAACGATTAATAAATGAAAAATGAAACAATTACCAGTGTTTCCAGTATTTGAAGTATACTACATATTAGGTTTTACTATTTTTTCATAGTTTCAGAGTTTTATAGGCTATGAGTAGTCTTTAAAGTTTCCCACTAAGATTATTATTTATGGCTCATATCATCTGTATATGGCTTATATCATCATTTCTTCCTCGCTAACCTATAAAGTAAGGAAGCCCTAAAGTTTTAACAGAAACTGTGGAATTAACAAAGTCTTAACTCTTCACTCTGCTTCTTTACACAAAGACTTTGCAAATTCTCATTAGTAAAATTTCTATAAACTCTGAAATGTACACACTTAGTAGTATATGCTGCTACAATAAATCTTAAATACTTTATGGAAGTTTTATGACCTGTCATACAGTCTTAATTTTGGCATATATATAAGCAAATTCCCAAAATTAAAAATATTTAAAACATTAAAACTTTTAACAAACCTTAAAACTTGCTTCAATGTTCATTATGAGAGGTGCCTTGTATAGAATAATTGAATTCCTCCTCTTACACATCTCTTGAACAACAAATATCTGGAATTATATTGTTTGTGACATGTCAATCTTGATTTATTCATAAATGTGTGCTTATATAAGAAATACATGGTTCTAAAATTTCACAACAATTCTTTAGAACTTACTTTTTGTTGAATTGTTTAGTTTAAGAAAATCAATTACACTTTATATATAAAAAATGTTCTGTGCTCAATTCGGCAACACCTACACTAAAATTGAAATGATACAGAGAAGATTACCATGGCCCCTGTGCAAGGATGACAAGCAAACTCATGAGGTGTTCCATATTTTTACAACAGACGCTGGAGTGGATGTGGCCAGAAGGGAACCCTACTGCATTCGAACCCTACTGCATTCTTGGGTGGGAGTGTAAACTTGTTCAGCCACTTTGGAAAGCAGTATGAAGGTTCCTCAAAAGATTCCACATAGCGCTCCCCTATGACCCAACAATACTTCTTCTGGGCATTTACCCAAATGATCACAAACAAGACCATACTAAAACTACCAGCACTACTATATTTATTGCAGCATTATTTACCATAGCTAAAATATGGAACCAACATCGGTGCCTCTCAGTACATGAATGGATCAAGAAAATGTTATAGACAGATAAATAGATAGATAGATAGATTGATTTCCATTGTGTGTGTGTGTGTGTGTGTGTGTGTGTGTGTGTGTGTGTGTGTGTGTGAATAGGAATTCTATACCTCCATCTGAAAGAATGTCATTGCCCAATTTGTTAGGAAATGGAAAGGCTTGGAAAAAATTATATTAGTGAAGTAAGCCAAGTCCAAAGAAACATAGGTCCCATGGTTTCCCTTATTTGCAATAAATAATATATGTCTGGTATAAGCAGAAATGGTCAAAAGCTTTGTGCATATGACCAGATAAGATGATGTTAAATGAAATGACCCCCAAAGTAAGTACACAAGTGGGGTTTTTTTCTTGCATGCTATTATTTCAAACATATTTATAATGTACGATGTGTTTTATTGTTTCTTTATATGTTCCTCGCCCACAGTATAACCTCTGTTTTCACTGTATTTGATTTTTGGTGCACCTGAATCTTGTATATACACTTAGCTAATTGGGGAGGGGAAAGAAGAAACAAAATGGTTAACTAGGAATACTGGTCGACCCATTGTGACAATGAGATGCACAAGACACTATGTTGAAAGTTGAACTTTACAATTTAGGTAGGGTTGGGGGGGATGAAGGGGTGTGTACTTGTAGAGGTGCGAGGGAAGGGATGGTGGGGGAAAAAAACAAAGGAGGTAGTAACAATGCCTGAAAGGAAATGGACTCATTAACTTGCTCATGTAACTGAAACCCCTCTGTACTGTATTTTAACAATAAAATACATATAAAAATGTTCTGAGATGGAAGAGTTTATTTCCCCTATTATACCCATATAATATCATTAACTAAGAAATTAATGCAAAACACTGACGTGAATAAGTGTGTGAGTGTGTGTGTATGTGTGTGTGTGCCTGAATGTTGGCGTACTCAGAGTTTGAACTTAGGGCTTTAAGGTCTTGCTAGGCCTTTCCCCTCTAGTTTGGTGAGCTAGTATATTAGCTACATCTCCGTTCATGCTCTTTTCTAGTTCATTAAAATTTTTGAAAAATAATCTCATGATTTTTTGCTCTGATTGGTTTCCAAATGTTATCCACAGACCTCAGCCTTCTGAGTACATATCCTGAGTAGTCAGGATTACAAAGGTGACCAACCAGCACAAGGCTTTCAGAAACATATTAAATGTAGAAGAAAATTTACATCATGAGTGCCTGTTTTATCATCTACATTTAAAGCATTTTGGAGTGATTATATGTGAATTTATTTCGTTTTTGGATTCTTAAAAGACAGTAAGTGATGATATTTAAAAATTTTAGTACTTTTTAAAAAGGAAACTGGAAATGTGGAATAGAAGAAATTTGGCTCTCTTTGGACCTCAATTTATAAGCTCATCTCTGTGCATGATAACCCAATGTCACCAACACAGTCTGTGTTGAAGACAAAATGTGGCAGAAAACAAACACCCTTGGCAACAATTGCTATGGTATTATTTCTTGGACAATATGTATATTGAATTGAGTGTGTAAGAGAATGGAGAGATTTTACCTACCTTTCTTGTATTGCTGAAAGACTTTTGGAAACTTTGACTGATTTCCTTCCTCATTGTGTGTCTTTGGACCATGCACTTAGTGCCTTTAATTACAATTTTTCCCAACATTATAATGGTAATAACATTAGCATTACAGCAAATATTATCTTAAGAATTAAGAGGCATGACACTGGTGAAATACTTAAGTTTCTATGAATAAGCTTTGAGTTTGGTCAGCAATTTTTTAATACTAAATATAATTCCATATGTATTACAGAAACCATTACATGTAGAGAGAACCCAGAACTAATGTTATCAATTGACTGTGATCTGCTTTCAAGGAAGCCGGGTGGATAACTTCTCATGCTGTAATTCAAACTGGTTATCTTGTCTTGATAGTGTAAAAATATTAGGGACAGAATAATGAAGAAATGTTGTGCACTGAGCTGAAGCCCATATGAAAATGTGCAAAACTGATAAAACATAAATTTATCTGAGCAGTATATTGTGTTTTACATCATTTAAGTTAAATTGCAAAGATAGACCTAGAAGAATGAATTCTCCTTTTGATACCCTATCATAGGGACTTAGAAGGATGAACTTACCTCATTCTTGGAGAGGCATCATCGGATGAGAGGAACAGTGTTTTTGTGTTTGCTTCCTTCCATTTATTCTTCAGTTTGAAATCTGAACTACTTGAAACTGAAGGAAACCAAGGGAAATCAGACATGCAGGCTTTGGAAAGAGCAATAAACATAAAATAAAATAAATATAGCCTTGTAAAAGGTCAAACTAAACTGAGTTTTATAGTCTCAAGTGTAAACAGAAAATGATCTAAGCAATATCATGTATTGAAAATATTAAAATGTTAGGAGTTGCTTAATTTTTTCTTTTACTACTATCTTGAATTAATTATTGATTTTGTATAGAGAGCTTAAAGATGAGATTAACAAGTAACATGAATAAAAATGGACAAAAGTTCTGAATAGGCCTGTTTTCCAAAAAGCCCTGAAAATCACAGTGGGTTTACAAAGTTGTGTTTAATGCCATTTCTATGCTGGCTTAGTGAACAGAAGTCATTAGAGAAATGCAATTCAAAATTACTATGATACTACTTCATAACTATTATAACTCTTATCAAAAAAACTCAAAAGAACCAGGTATGGTGGTAAAGGTTTGTAATTCCAAGCATTTAGGAGGTTGGACTAAGAGGATTTGAGTCTAAAGCCAGTCTGAGTTACTTCACCTATTAGAAACATGCACTTTCATAAAACTCAAAAGGTAATAATGTTGGTGAGAGTATGGAGAAAAGAAAATTCTCTACACTCTTGGTCAAAATACAGGCTCGTATTCTCGTTGTAGAAAGTAGTATGCATTTTCTAAAAAAATGCAAAGTTGAAATATCATCTGACTCACCAATCATGTGATTGTTTCTCTCTGGGTAACTCATAAATATATTTGTAGTTCATTGTTATTCACATTATTCACAACAGCAGCCAAGATATACTTCGAAGTTAAGTGTTCAAATCCACACAATTAAAGCAACTCTGGTATATGCACAAATACATGTTCTGTTTCATCCTTAAAATAGCAAGATACTTCTCCCATGAGCCACAACTTACAATGACCAGAAAGATGTAATCTAAATGAACAAAAATGTTGTCTTCCAATCTTTGTAATACTACACACACGCAAACACACCAACCTCAAACATTAAGAGAGATTTTTTTTTTAAGTAAAGCAAACTGGAATCACTAGGGCATTTAGGTCACAATGTAGAAGATAGTAGATATGCAGGATGACCAAGTACAGAGTTGTAATGTACAAGATGAGGTTACAGGGGACTACACTGGCCTTACAAAGGAATGAAGCTAAATAAGTAGGAGTTGTTCTTCTGAGTAGGGTTTGCTCTTTAAGTTGTTCTTCCTTCAGTAATGGATGAGATTAATGTAATTCTTTAAATATACCTGCCTGTTTGCAGAAATAATATCAAACAATATAGCAATAATGTTCTATGCTCAACATAGAACAAAATGTCAAATTAAAGTACATGAGATTATTCTTGATATAAACTAATTACAAATAAGGGAAAACCTGAGACCTATGTTTCTTTAAGTCTGGCTTACTTCACTTAATATGATTTTTTCCAAGATCTTCCATTTCCTTACAAACGAGGTGGTATCATTCTTTCTGATGGAAGCATAGTATTCCACGTGCATGTGTAAGTGTGTGTATGAGAGAGTGACATTTTCTTCATTCGTCTACTGAGGGGCATCTGGGTTGATATCATATCTTAGCTATGGTAAATAATACTGTGATAAACACAATTGTGCTGGTAGCTTTAGTGTGGCCTTGTTTGTTGTCACGTGGGTAAATGCCCAGAAGTGGGATTAGTGGGTAATAGGGAAGCATTATTGTGTACATCAAGGATAATCTTAGTAGATGAGCAGAATAGCTCACTATCTATTTACATATGATCTTATAAGGTGATTCCAAGTGAAATGAACTCAAAGACATGTTTTTGTTGTTGTAGTTCTTAATGTAGTATGTGATTTCTTTTTATCTTTTGTGTTTTCCCCACCAATGTTTATCCCCTGTAGTCACTGTATTTGATTTTGATACCCTGGTTATTGTAAATAGGTTGATCTGAACTAGGAAAGGGAGAGGTAAATAAACAAAATAGTGAGACAAAGGACAAAGGGGGAACCTATGCAAACGAGATACTCACAATATTTTGGAAATAATCTTGGGGGATGTTAGGAAGGAAGAGGGGGTAACTTGGGGGAAGTGGTAACAAGTTAGAAAAAAATGAATTCACTAACTTACTTATGTAAATCTAACCCCTCTGTACATTAACTTGATAATAAAATTTAAATAAAAAATAAAATACATGAGAGCAGCAATACAGGAGATGAGAGTGGGGAAAATATTGTACTATACAGAGAAAAGTAGAACAGCTGTGGAGTACAGTAATTTCACTGTAACATAGGAAGTGATAAACTAGCATACACCTTTTCACCCTCATGTCAGTCACTAAACAGGGAAAACAAAATGCAAACTCAGTAAAACAATAGAGATAAAATAGAAAAATAAACAATTAAGGTGAAGAGATGATTTGGACCAAGAATAACAAATGACACAGGAAGCAAATAAGCTGGTAAGTTTAAAAAATATTACCCATAATAGTA